AGGCTGATCTAAGCGCTCTGACGCAGGCTCCTACGCGCTACGCCGAAGTGGGGAGCTGGTAGAAGTGGTGGATGATGAGGAAGCCGAAAACAAAGCGCTGGAGTCGCTGCGCAAGCGGGGCCGCCCGACAGTGCGCGAGCAAGCGAGTCCATTGGTGATCGGGTTTATATTATTTTTAGTGTGACGCCCGGACCTATAGGGCGATGTGCTCGAAGAGCGCCTGCAGGCCCTTTGCCATGGCGAGGTCAGCTGGCGAGTTAAAGATGGAGAGGTCGGGGCAGAGGAGGCAGTTTGAGACGTCAGTGAACTCGACGATGACGAGCGGCGAGCCTAGACAGGGAGGGGATGGAAGCAGCGGTGAGCGATCTAAAGGGAGATGTTTGCGCGCGAGACGGTGAGTGGGAAACCGATCTTACCGTCGCCGGCCACTGCGGACGAATGCGCGAAGAGATCGAGGTTGAGCACGTTTCTGGGCGTGGGGTAGGCGAGCACTGACTCGCGGACGCCGAAGTAGGAGGAGGTGCCGACTTTGTTGATGAGCGTGCCCGTGCACATCGTGCCACCGTTGGCATCCATGCTGGCGCGCTCGAGCGTCTCCAGGAAGAGGCTGCCGTTGAAATTTTTGTTGGCGCCGACGAGCGTGAGGGACCGCTTGAAGAGCGGGAAGGCCTTGCCGCAAAGCGCCGACGACAGACTGTGCTTGCTCTCGAAAGCGTTGATCGGAGCCATGATGTGCCTCACCTCGCCCTCCTGCTTGACCTTGAGGTAGTAGTACTCCTCCGGACGCCCACCGGTGGACGACACCGCAGCCGTCAGGCGAGCGACGAGCAACGTACAAAAAGTCCGCCACGAGGATCGGCTTGCCGAGGCTGGCCTCGCCGGAAGCCGGGTCGACTCCCTTGACCGGGACGGTCCAGGTGCCCGTGTTCTCTGTGTCGTCGATGCGCGTGACGATGACAGCGGCCACCATGTCGACGAGCCCCTTGTTGCCGAACCTGGTCTGCACGTTCTCGCCGGCCTTCTCCGTCGCGTAGGATGAAGACATCGGGCCGGAGACGGTCCGTGCGCGGCGTGAGTGAGGAGCTGGAGCTATTTTTAGATCGAATTTTAAGCCGAAACGATCTTTGTTCCGCGTCGCAGCCCGTGACGGGCACATTGAGGTCGTCAAGTGGCTCTTCGCGCAAGGATACGACTGTGGCGACGCGTGGCATACGGGGCAGGTGTGCCGCGCTGCCGCAAAGGGTGGTCATCTCGAGGTGCTGCAGTTGCTCTGCTCGCGCGGAGTGCGATGGGATAACAAGGGCAGTGGCGTGTGCGCCGCAGCGGCTGGGTACGGCCGGCTCGACGTCCTCAAGTGGGCTCACGCTGCTGGATGCCCCTGGGACGGAGCAGTGTCTGGCGCCGCGGCATTGCACGGACACCTCGAGCTTTTGCAATGGGCGTACGACGAGGGCTGCCCATGCGACGAGCGAGTCTGCGCGAGGGCTGCCCTCAAAGATGATTTCAAAATGCTCGCCTGGGCGCACTCGAAAGGCGTACCTTGCACCAGCGGCGTGCTGAATGCGGCTGTGCTTGGAGGCAATCTGCAGATTGCGCAGTGGCTGCACGCGCGCGGCGTCACCTGGCTTACCCCGTGTCATTGGACTTTGAAAGTCCAGCACAGCAATGGCAACACGCGTAGCATGCGGCGCTGGGTTGAGCAGCTCAGAAAATTCTTGCGTTCGGGTGTCACGATGCGCACGTGCCGCTCAAACGGCTTCTGGATTTTTGAAAGCATTTGCATGAATTGCAACTCGAGCTCGTGCGACAATTGCGGCGGCGACGAGCCCTCGAGGCAGTGCAAGAGATACGGTACGTGCTCGAGAGCTTCTACATACGAAGCGTTTTTAGAATGGCGCGGAGTCGCACCTGGTCCATTGTGCGCATGCTGACACGTTCTTTCTTAATCTGGGCCTTGATGCGGTCCGTGTCTTCAACCGCAAATCGCGTCGACTCCCTTCCCTGAATCTGACACAACCACTCCTTGAAATGATGCGCCCATATTCAAAAAAG